ATTTACACACACAAACAAACAATCACTATCAACCCATCCATTCCTCTTTCCCTCTCTCCATCCACCCACTCACCAGTTGGTCAATGAAGGCATCCACGGCAGCACCAGCCTTGACCAGCATCATCACACGCCTGGGGCGCTTCAGCTTCGCCACCATGTCCTCCATGGACTTGGCACCAATGATGTTTGTGCCTTTGGCCTCGTTGTTCATGAAGTCCTCCACCTTGGACACTGTGCGGTTGAAGGCCACCACCTAACCAGGAAGATGTCATGAAAATCAGATATCTTTTCTTCTTCAATTTTAGTAAGAGTTTTACAGCACTTGTATCACAATTAGGTCAAGTGTGAACAAAACCAAACCTTCTCCTTTTCTCTCTCTCTCTCTCTCTCTTTTATGTTAAGTGTGAAAGATAAGCGGTGTTACAAGAGAGTAGCAAACACAAAAAAGAGGAGGTGATATTAGGACGATAGTTAATTGATAGGATAGAAGGAGCAAACCACACCAGAGCACCCGCTAAACCCCCACAAAATAAAATATGATTGTTATAGTCAACTTTTGCCTTTTGTCACAAAAATGTGTCCATCTCAGACGAGAAGATAACAAAATAATAACACATACGTCCTTAGATCTGCTTTGTTTCATCTAGAATTTTGTCTTTGGGAAATGAAATTCGTTCATTTTTTAAATCTTTCAAAAAATTTTTAAAATAAAAAAACCCATGTATCAACACCACTACAAGTACTGAAATACTTTATACAAAAATGGAATGAGTTTGCCTTTTAGCTTTAGTAAGAGTTTTACGGCACTTTCAACACAATAAAATCATAAAAATAAGTGCTGGAAATTAAAGGTGTTACATGAGATTTTAACAAACACCAAAAAAAAGAAGGGGATAAGGACAATAGATGTTTGATAGGAAAGAAGGAGCAAAGCACACCATAAGACCCACCCACGGCCCACACCCTAAAAGAGTTCATCTTAGTTTTAGTTTCAGTGAGTTTAAAGCACTTGCAACACAATTAGGTCATAGTCTCAACCCACCTTGAAGCCGTGGTCGTTCATGTTGAGGATGAGGTTCTGGCCCATCACAGCCAGACCAATGAGGGCAATGTCTCCTCTGAAACGACAAGAGCAAACATACTTTGCATGAACACGTCTGTTGGAAAAGTTTGAAAAGTTTGTTTTTGTAGTAAGACTGAGTTTTACAGCACTTGCTAATAGTGCATTAGAGGCATTAAACCAATACCAATTTCACCATTGTCACAGCACTTGCAACACTGTTAGGTCATATAGGTGCAGAAAATTAAAGGGGTTACAAGAGAGTAACAAACACAAAAAAGAAGGAGGAGAAATGAGGGTGATAGATGTTTGATAGGAAAGAAGAGAAGCAAATCACACCAGAGCACCAGCCAACCATCCACAGAAAAGCTTCTGTATTGGCTGAATACAAGAAAAGGGGAGCAGGCACAAGTTAGTCTGTGAGATAAGTGTTAAAGCCCTTGAAGCTGAGAATGTTTTTGAGAGCTCCAGGGCCTGCTGAGGTAATAATAGTTGTGAAGCCCGAACAGCCTGGATATGCGCCATATGAAAGCACACATTATCATTATTCAGTAACTTCTGGGATGACCAAAGTAATAGTCAGTATTGCAATCAGTTGTTTTATGCCCCTATTGACACAAGTTAGACTTGCCCGTTGCTGACTGCTTTGGCCATATTTTGCTCGTCACAATCAAATCAGGCTGAGTGGGAACCCCAAGCAACAAAAATGAAGAACAATTTTTTTAAAAACAACCCATCTTCCCCACATAGGGCATTGAACTAACGTCTTCTGTGAGCAAGGCAAAGTGTCAACGCGTTACACCACAGATGTCTGCCGAGAACAGTATAGCCAGAAAAGAGGGGGGGGGGGGAGGAAGATCACATATTGACATAACGGTATGTTTATGCATGAAACAGCTTTGCCTGGGCGGAAAACATAGAGGAAGTAGATAGCCTACGTTGGCCCTACAACTTCCCTCCCTTCCGAGTTTTGACTTCCTTGATATGCTCCTTAGGATTGGGCATGATCAATACGTTTCACAAAACAATGGTCAAAGGAAAGAAATAGATGGCAGAGACTTTCTCTCAAGGAGATGTACACATGTGCATAGGAAGGGTGAGGACCGTCGAACCATCCACCAAATCCATTGCAAAACAATTAGGTCATCTAAGTGACGAAGATTCGAGGTGTGACAAGAGAGAAACAAACATAAACAAGAAAGGGGAAAGATAAGGACGATAGACGTTTAATAGGACACAAGGAGCAAATCACATAATCAGAGCTACACACCAACCACCAGCTAAGAAACACAATCACGACATAAAGAGAAACAATAGATTTATACAAGCTGAGAACATACACCTGCACCAGCTCGCAGTGTGCACACGCCAGCTCAGAGTGGTTCATTCCGCAAACCCTCATTAATGAACCGTAAATACAATCGAAATTGTCTACCAGTTTTTAGTTTTAGTAAGAGTTTTAAGGCACTTGCAACACGATACGATCAAATAAGTGCCGAAGAATAGACGTGTTACAAGAGAGTAACATAGACAAAAAGAAAGAGGAGAGATAAAGACGATAGATGTTTGATAGGAAAGGATGATCAAACCACACCAGAGCACCCGCCAACCACCCACAAATTGTCTAAGATACTGACAGCATCAACCAAAGTCAAAGTGAAAAGTGGCCGTCTTACATGACAGCGTCATTATAATGTTTTAACCAAAAAAGTATTTGAAAAAAACCAACAACAAAAAAAACAAGGGGGAAACGGGAATGGCCGTGTGTACAGGTGATTGTCTAATACAGGGGTGGCCGCTAGAGCAGGTCCAACTGTATAGTAAATGCCGCTCTTCCAAATGCGGTGTCTAGCAATGTCTATAACTTCCCTTCATCCTCGAATAATAAGGGTCGTCATCCGTTCACGATGTACGAGCTATTATACTTCCACATCATTCATGAGGTTGACGAATTAGACCCTGTCTATCGGAGCCTGTACAGGGCATTGAGGGTGGGTGAGATATAACATCCCAGAAGAAAGACGAAAACGCTTGACAAAATAGCTTCTGCACATTAAAATTGAACGTAAATTCTTCAGCAGTAAAGTTAAAAAGCGTAGTAGTCCATTGCACCACAGACGCCAGACGAAAGCGACGAGTACAACGAAAGTGGTTGAGTAGGGGTGTGTGTGTATATGTTTGCGTGCGTGCGTGCGTGCGTGCGTGCGCGCGTGTGTGTTTGTGTGAGAGAGAGAGA